CGGTCAGATGCATCGGACTAGTGTGTGTTGCTTTCCTTTTCACTTCTGCTCTCTATTAACTTACTACGGGAGGTAGTTTTTGACAAGCACATTCCAGTGCCGTTCACGACGAGTCCCGTAATATCCGTGCGTTGTCAAATTTGACATTATCAGGAGGTTGTAAAGACCTTGCTGCAAACAATTGTCGTCTCTATGTTGACTAAGATGTAACGCTGTCGCTGTCCTTGTCCTTCCTATCGTGTTTCCTACCTGCTGCAGCTGCTGCTGTCCTTGCTGTACTTTGCCGATTTTAGCCTACGCGACCGATGCAGACCATGTCCATGATGAAGACCATTACCATCCGAGTCTTTCACACAGCCGCAGACAAGACCGGGAGAACACGCCTAGCCTGGGGCCGAGTACAGGGCGGCGGCGAAGATGAGTCATTCGGGGACGTCTTCGTCCACAGCTTCGACGTCCTCGGAAAAGGGTGTGACTGGAGCGGATGCGGTGCTGCGCCCATGATAGAAGGCACGGTGAAGGAGACGGAGCGCGCTGGGAGGTACCGGCTCACTGCGGGCAAGGTGATTCGCGACCCGTCTAGTGCAAGCAAAGCTGAAGCGGAGCCCATCGCCGAAAAAGTGAAGACCCTTGAGAGGACCATCGACGAAGTGCGGCAGTTCAATGCCACCTGCCATGCGGAGTGGGCGAAGAGCGCCAAGATTCTGCTGACGACGACATCGAAGTATGAAGAGTTGACCGCGCAGTTGGTGGAGAGATGCCTGGAATTGGAGGAGAACTGCCTCACCAGTTTCGAGAAGATGAAAAAAGGCTTCGCCGCTTTGCGTCGGGACCTGGATGTGGTGATGGGGACGAAGGCGGAAGATAAGAAGGTCGACAAAGATTCACAAGAGAAGACGACAAAGCCATTGCATGCCACAAAGAAGGGCTTCGACGGGGTTGCGGAGAAGATTGCGAAGGACTTCTGCGGTGGAGACAAGAAGTGCCCGAATTCTGGCACGCTCCCCAGCAACTCATCCATGACAACGAAGACCAGCATTTTCGACGACGTGAGCAAGCCGAATATCTTCAACACACAGACGAAGCCCCCCATGCTGTTCAACCGCGCTGATCCACCTACGGCGACCAGCAAAAAGGACGGCGCCGCCAGGAAGAGCGGCGTCTTGGACACGAAGATGCAGACGCTGCTTGACATCTCCCCAGCATTGGTACCGTTCGCTGAGGAAACCTTCGGAAGCAGCACCCTCGTCGACCCGGGGCCGTGGAGGGAAAAGTTTGTGACTGGAGGAGGAGGTTGATTGTAGGGCGCTGTGGTGCTTCTGTTGCTATGTTGTAGACCTTTTTTTCCTGAAGAGCAAGAGTAGAGCAGGTTTAGCGCAATGTAGATCATGATCAGCAGCATTTCTCTATATCTTTGTGTCCTTGGGACTGGCAGTCTTCGTTGTTTTTAGCCTATTCGAGATTCCGTTGTTTGAGTTTTTTTGATTGCTGTAGACGTCTTGTTGTTTTAGTGCCCGCGGGAAAGTTTTGTTTTACGTTGTCATGCTGCTTTTAGAGATACCCGTAGAGTTATTCATTGTTTTATGCTGTATTGTCGCTGCTGTAGGAGTTACCCGTAGTATCGTTTTATGCTGTGTTTTAGCTGTCGGAGTGCCCAGAGTTTTTAGTCGCTTGCTGTGCTGCTGTGCTGGTTGTTGCTGCTGCTGTGCTCTGCTGAGTCCCAAGTGAAAGAGAACAACAGAGATTTCCAGACATTCGCTGCCATAATCGGCTCTGTCGATTGGCTAGCGCCTTTTAAGGAATCTTATTATTATTATTAGTTGCCGTTGTACTATTTTGGATTGAAAATCGGACTACTTCTATGCAGGGACGAAGATGAACTGTAAATCTTACATGTGTAGTTGTAGTTCAT